CTTAGTATCACATAGTGTGTGTGTAGATATATTTATTTTGCTAAAGATATACCTAAATTTAATATCTTTGTAAAATTTGAGATAGATTAGGTACAAAGAATTCTTTAAAGACAAAAAGCTTCTGACTTTTTCAGAAATAGGTCCTAGAACATTAAATCTGGAAAAGGACCTTAGAGATTATCTGGTTTACACCGTTCATGTTACAAAGATGAAAACTGAGGCTGGTGTAGGGGGGTGGGGAATGACTTGCTTGAGTTCCCACAGGTAGTAAATGGGAGATCTTCAGTTAACACCCAACTCTTTCAACCTTGCCTCTGAATGCTTGTTCTAAAAAGGATCACTTCATTTTCCTGCCTTTGGGAGTCCAGGACAGCAAGTATCTGGATCTTCCTGGGATGACTGAGGGATCTTCCAGTGACCCTCATTCACCATCCTGCACTGGAGCTGTCCATGGTGTCAGGGATGGGGCTAAGCCCAGGAAATAACTGAGGAGTTATTCCTGGAATACAGGGAAGGAGTAACTTCTCCCCCACCCCCCAAAAAAAGCCTAGTATAGGGGAGAAAAATCTGAAGGTTCAGATTAGTTGAGAAAATTTCTTAATGAAGAAAATTCTTTCCATTTTGAAACCAGGTCAATAAGTGGAAGGCCTACTTAGGAGGTAACACCACCTCCTTTCCAACACTTTCCACTGTACGTTCTAGTGGAGAACACTAGATTTGGAGTCAGGAGAGTTGGGTTCAAATCTTGGCCCTGGAATTTACTAGCTGTGTGATCTTGGGCAATTGGCTAAATCTCTCTTGCATCCCTCGGTGTCCTCAATTGTAAAATGGGGATGATATTTGCGCTACCTCCCTCAGGGGGTTGTTATGAGAAACACATTTGCTCAGCCTTCAGTCTTGATAGTAATGGGGATTTTTTGTTGTTGTTATAATTAGGTCTATACATAGCTCAGGGCCAAAGGGATGTAGCTTAGACTCTGCTACTTCGGCAGAGTTACAGAATAGTTTCAATTGCTCTGTCCTTGCTTCAGCAATGGGAAACAGTTCCTAAATATATGCTGCATTATAATCTTGAAAAGGAAGAAGCAGGATCACAGAATATTTATTGGATTAGCTTTTTAAACTTTCTCAGCAAGCTCATAATTACAGAATTGTAGGTAACTGAAAGTCAAGTGGTTGGTGTTCAACCATGTATATGCTGAATTGCTCTGTAGGGAAAAGCACTATAATATGTGAAAGTTATCACTGATGTGTCTCAGGATTTAGTGTTGTTTGGCAGCAAAGACACTGGATTTGAGAGCCAGAAGACTGGGATTCAAAGTCCCCAGCTCTAACTGTGTGACCTTGAGTAGGTCACTACCCTTTATTTGAGGACTTTTCTAGTTGACCAAACTATTAAGTGTTCTTCCCCCAAGAAATTACCTTATAATTATCTTACATATCAATAATAGCTAACATTTGTATAGTGTTTACTATATGCCAGGTACTGTGCTAACTAAGCATTTTATATTATATTTTATTATATATTTATTTAAATATTTAAATTATCTCATTTAAAACTCACAACCCTGGGAGGAAGTTACTATTATTATTTTCATTTCACAGATGAAGAAACTGAGGTAGACAGACGTTAAGTGACTTGCCCAAGGGTCATACAGCTAGTAAGTGTCTGAGGCTGGATTTGAACTCATTTTCCTGGCTCCAGGACCAGCACTCTATCCACTGCATGTTGTCTACTCTCCCAATAGAATATAAGCTCTTTGAGGGCAAGGACCATTTCAGTTTTGTCTTTGCATCCCTAGTATCTAGCACATGGTAGGAACTTAATAATGTGATTGATTGGGTCTCAGTTTTCTCATCTGTAAAATGAAGAGGTTGGACAAGGTGGTATCTAAGATCCCTTACAGCTCTTAACTATAAGTCTAAGTGATTTGTATTCCATTTATCTCCATCTCATTTTCTATAAGAGTTGAATAATCCTTCTTCCCCTGTGACCTTGGGCAAGTTACTTGATGGGACCTCACTTTCTTTCTGTGTAAAATCAAGGAGTTTAGATGTTTCTTGAAATCCCTTTCCAGCATTCACAAAGCACTTGAAGGGTTTTTTTTTGAGGGGTAACACTTCAAATCATCTTCTAGCCCCCTTCCCCAAAGGCTTCTGTTTGCTGTGAAAGGTTGCCAGTCAGTTTCATCCCCTAGGAATCAGATTTCTCGATTGCCAAGCAAGAAGGAACAACTCATTATTCTTGATTGCTAAATACTAAAGAGCATTCAAAGAGGAAGCTATGTAAGGACCCAATTCCTCTAGGTAGGGGAAGTCTCTGTCTCTCTCCCCCACACCCTCAGTAGGTGCCTTTCATGACCCTTGCCTTGCATGTGTGAAAAAAACTCTGAGTTAAATCTTTAGCTATATTTTAATGGTGACAAAGACCTTAGATGCAGCTACATCCTGTCTATATCTGAAAAAAAAACTCATATATTTTCTGGGCTGGCTAATTAAAAATGCCATGAGAAAAGCACATTAGTTATACAGTATGCTTGAACAATGGGATCATATTAGTCATAATAACCATGAGGAAACTTATAAAACTGTTGCTTTCTTCATGTTTTTTTTTCTGAGAAAAGAAAACATCAGTATTTAAGGGGAAAGAAACACCAATGGAATGAACTGAGCAGGTTAGAAAGAAAATTATTTTTATTCCTTGGTACTAGAAAAAGTCAAGAGTATTGAGTTCTGGTAGAAGTTTAGGACAAAAAGAAAATCCAAGGAGCTGGAAGAGAAAGAATAAACATTGATAAGAACAAGAAGCATTTGTCACAAGTCATGTTCGAAAGACCAAAAAGTTCAGGATGAAAATGTTGGATCCCATTCTTTGACCCTGACTATCCTAAGAAATGTCCAACGGGGCCAGATCCATGATTCATTCAGCCTTATACTGTGTCTCTGACAGTAGTCAAATTTTTTGACTCATCTCCTTTAAAGCCTTTTAGAATTTAATGGTTAAAACTTTCATTAATTAAATTTCTATGTTAAAAGTTGGGCTGTGCTTGGTGCTGCTGTAAGTCAGTACTTCAGTATTTGACTCAAGAAATGGCTTTGTTCCATGACATAAGAGGACCACACTGAAAATCTTTTCCATAAAGGTTTTCCATCCTTTTCTCTCTCTCTCCTTCCCCTTCCCTTTCTTTACTGCCCCCTCCCTTTTCTCCCTCTCTTTCTCCCTTTCTTTTCTCCCTTTCCTTTTTTTCCTTTCCTCCCTCTCCTTCCTCCTTTCCTTCTTTTCTCACTCCCACTTCCTTCTTTCATTCCTTCCTCCTTCTCACCTTCCTTTTGGAATGGAAAGAATAACTCCACTTGGAATTTAAAAACATTTAGATGTCTATTCTATTTAGTCTGATAATCTGTAAATTATGATTTGAAAAAAATTAGAAAGACTACACATGAAAAAAAATTTTATAGATTGGAAGGTTCCTCAAAAAGGAATTCACAAATTATTTTTATAATTTAAGATTTCAACCTGAACAACACAAGTGCATATAAGTGGCAGTGTGAAGAGACATTTAACTGTATTATTACAAACCTGTAAACATTTGGATTTACAACAGAACTTCAGGACAGTCTCAGAAGAAGTTCCATTCAGCCATGCCCTTTGCCTGGTCAGGCAAAAGTTGCTCCTTACAAGGTGTGTAATTTTGTTTCTATTTTTGTAGTGTTAATATGCAAATCCTCAAGTAAAGTCTTCTTATGATCCCTTCCCTTAGGGGGGAGGCAAACCTAGGTACTCAAAGTGTATGCGAAGTTCAAGGTCTGGCAGGAGTCTGCTGGAAAGACTCAGTGCTTAAAATCTTTCCAGACTGGCTGGTGTGTGGACCAGCTAGTCCGCAAACCAGCTAGTCCAAAGCCTTGTTAAGTTTGGAGATGCTCATTAATTATCAGGAGGCTGCTGATTTTGTTTTTCACTCCAACACCTCCTGAAGAAATGGAGGGATGGTGCTCTCACAGATCAAAGGAATGAAGATGCAAACATTTCCAATTTTTGTTTCATTCCAAAAATGGTTACAACGTCTCATTTTTTTAATCTATTGGTTTCCAGACAGAATCACCACAGAGGCAACATGGTGTAGTGAATAGAGTTCTGGACTTGGAGTCAGGCCGACCTGTTTTCAAATCACACCTGAGATACTTACTAGCTATGTGATGCTGGGTAAAGTCACTTAACCAGTCTCTGCCTCAATTTCCCCATCTATAAAATGATGGCCCCTCAAGCTCCTTTTAGCTTTAAATCAATGATCCTGAGACCTGGTACTGCCATTTATATTTCTTGACAATCAAATGTTGTAAAGTTAAAACACTGTACCACACCAAAAAAGAACATTTCACATATATTTGTAACAAGGAAACAAATTTATTGATTTTAAAAGACAAGACACAATTTTGTTTTGAAAAACACAAGAAAGCTAGCCTGAGTTCAAGTCTGAAATATTCAGAAAAATCCTACTAATATCTTTAGTATGTTCCAGTCATTTGTTTAAACAACACACTAAAAGTTAATATATATTTTTATAATTATAAAAGTTCCCCAGTTATTGTACAGTACACAATACAAATCGCCCACAAACTATTATTTAGCTCCTGCCAATTTTGAGAGGACATGATATACTAAAAGATTTAGCATTTCTCACAAAAATCACATCAGGAAATACGTATTTACAAAATCAAATACATTATACAAAAAAACCATCACATGTTATTCTGTAAAGATGTTTTTAAATAATTAAAAAGTATATTCAACTGTAGTCCAAAAACTGGAAAAGAACATTACATTATCTCACACATACAATCTCTACAAAAAGTTGCTTACCTCATTTACATAATCTATTCAGTCGATTGTAAAAGAAATGTTCAAATATCTCCTAGTGTTGCTATGTTCCTGTGCTTGTGTGACTGAATAATGTAATCTGCCACTTACTAAGTGAAATTGAAATGATGGCACTGAAAAAAAAATACAGCATTTTAAAAAAACACAATGAAAGAAGTCACCTAGAAGGTACGAAAGCCCTGAGTGATAGTAGAATTACTGATTGGTAAGCACTACAATTAACCTAATTAAAAGTTTACCACCTCAGGCACAAATTTCCATGTTTTCTAAAGGCACTCACTTAAAGTTTCTGTAACCATTCATGATGGTTGCTACTATAGGTCCAAATTGATGATGGAGATGAGTGGAGAAAAAAAATTTGCTTTGGTACAAAAGATGCTTTTTAAAGGAATAAAATTCTATACCTCTTTATTGGGTTATTTAAAATTGTGTCCAGCAAGTTAAAACAAGGCAATAACTACTTGAAAATACTAATTTCTCACAGGAAAAAATTTACTTGGTTAACAACAGTCAGTGGGGAGCTTTATACTCCCAAGAATCATAATTCCTCTAACAGAGATTTATTGGTGAGCTAGATAAACAATTCTTACCAAAGATTTCATTACTCAGGGCTTCCAATCCCAACACCATAATTTGTTTGAAAAAATAAAGGAACGTGGGAAAAGAATCAAAACCAGAACCAAAGAAAAGAACAGACAAAACACCTTTTGAAAATAAGGCATATCAGAGTTTACTTCAAATGAAAACTAGGCAGTCACTTTGTAAGTGGCTTTTACTATTTTAAGTAAAATTGGTAAACTAAACTCAGGTCTACTGGCACATAAAATCACTAGCAGCAATGATCAAGGCATGCAAACTGAGAAGCATTTACAGTAAATCATTATGAAGAATTTTTTCTGTTTAAAAAAAGAGAGTAAAATTAAAACCCTTTGAGTATTGCATTTGTTTTAAACTAATTTTAACATGTGAATAATTTGCATGGTTTGACTTTCTAAACTGCCTAAAAAAAATCCCCAATGTATCCAGCATACTTGCACTATACTCGTGATGTCATTTTGCTGGACATGTTACTAGGATACGTTTTTCTCTGTACCCTGCCAGGCCAGCATCTCTGCAGGCAACCCCATTCTTGGGCCTGATGAGAACAGGGGACAGAGGGGACCAAGTGCACCAAGAGTATCCTTGAACAGAATCAGCTGCTGTGTAGTAGACTGACATCTGCAGATGTCAGAAGCAGTATACATAGCATAGCATCCCTTGACAGATGAGCCTAAATCAAGTACCGTTACTCTCCATTCTATCTACATATGATCTTTATGACAAACTACAAAAGAATCATAGCATGAATAAAATTACGTCCATTAAGGATGCATTCCCAAACGTTATTCTGTGAAAGATGTAGCGGTGATCCGCCTAACTGCCTGGCAATAGTTATCTTTTCTTTAATTATTAAAACTCCTCTTTCATTCCTAAGGCTTCGCAAAGACTTGTACATTGCAGTGCTAAGTAAATTAAACTTTAAAAAATAAGTCCAAAAATTCAAATTCACCTTTTTTTTTTGTAACCTACCTTTTCAAGGCAATCTAAGTACCTTCCATGTGTGGTTTTCAGCTATGACATAGGTGTACAAGCCCACAGATTTGTCCCCCTTTCCTAGATATTTACATGGTATGAAAAAGTGAAAGTTCTAGTTTGTTGTAAACAGTACACATAACTTGGATGGCAGTGACTATTTTGGAATAAGTATCTTGAGCCCTCTTCCAGAAAATTATAAAATGTATAGAAAATGCAAGTATTTAGTCTGGAAACACTTTTTTTTCTCTCTCTCTTTTAAAAAACAGTATAATTAGACATTTGGATATAATAGAGTCTTTTTACCAGACTAGTCTAAATAAATGATCCGAAAGGCTTTAGTCCCCATTGTATATCTTACAATGCTCAAAGGGTTAATACAAGGTATTAATTACATCAAATGGATTTTTTCTAACACTAGAACTAAGCACTGAGTTATGCTCCTATCCCAGTTTTCTTCAAATCACCAAACTAGCAGAAACACTCAGATCCCACTCATTGACTTGTTCTAACTGTATACACAGAGGTTGTCCTATTCTGTAGAGACAAGGCCCAATTTTCAGAGAAGATGACTGCATATGCCAAATTATTTTTTTTCACTTTCTGGAATTGATTTTGTCTAAATTTTACAATTGGTAATCACCAGAACATTAAAATAATTTGAGGATTATTTTAATATCATTTTTAAGGGGGAGGGTTTGATATCACAGAGGTCAACTTGATTGTTATAACCACTTCTTCAAACTGCTCATGAAAGAGAGCTGCCGACCCCTTTCACTTGTGTCCACATGGTGAGGACCAAATGTCACAGTGACTGACACACATTTTTTTTTCACTCAAATCATCAAGAGCATAGCATTTCAGATACTTTAAATACATCATCTGAAAAGAAAGGAAAAGTACCTTAATCACCCTTTGTGGGGACTAGGCTCGGGGAAAAGCAATCATGGTTACCATCTACAGACCATATACATTCCTGAAGGACGCTTCCAGCACTAGACGAGAACATGTTTGTTTTCCCTCATTTATGAATCTAAGGCGGGCATGCTGCACATGACTCACTTTACACACGCCGCATTAAAACCATTTTCTTAAAGTTCAGAATCTAGCAAGAGGGACACGAGCTGTGCGGCACAGTACAAGAATAAGTAGAGAAAGGAAAACGGATTGAAAGGGCGATAAGATCAATATAGCAACTCCAGATTGAGTTTTGATGATGACACATGGTATCCACAGAAAACTTTTGAAAATTGAGCCCTGTGTATTCCAGGGAGAAATGATTTGCCAATTTAACCCTCACCCCCATTGCTCACTGTTTTCTTGGATCCTAAAGTTTGGGGGTATATATAGTTTTCAAACTCAAATAAAATTCATCATATTCAATATTGAGGGCAAGAAATGCCTTTTATTAATCCCCCAAATTAGTGGATTCTACCTATATGTTGCTCTCTGAAAAAGTAGGAAGTTTCCCCATTATAACTATATTCACATAGCTCATAAGGTTATTTTGGATTATAACATGTAATATTCATTATAGATTATAAAATTATAAGAATCTTATAAACCTATAAATTATAGATTATTAGTACTGGATTGTAACCCCAGGTCAAATGGAAAGAAGTCCTTTCTTTAAATCCATACTCCATGTACAAATATATGACTCTGTTGACAGAGATCTAGTGTCCAAAGTTGTTTAGAAAAATACCAGTAGCAACAAATGATAAAAACTGGAGTAAGTACGACTTTCAAACAATGCAATGAATATGCAATTGCTCCAATTTCTTTGGACATGTGAACTATTATAATTTGGCTTTCAAATGAATACCCTAAGTCAAACTGGACCGGGGGGGGGGGTTCTATGTAAGGAATTAATAGCCCATTGTGAAATCCAGACCATTGAGGAGGGCACAAAGGGAAATGCTGGTGCATGTGTGTACACATTCTTTGTTATTAAAGATTTCTGGCACTCAACTTTTTAATCTTGTTCACATTGTGGATCAGAAAGCAATTAATTGGATTAAGTTGGAAAATGACTTCATTTTGCTAGGCTCTACCATGTTTTTCTTTAGAGAACAGTGAACAATGAGGGGAAGAAGTGAATCGTGGAGGGTTCCAAAGACCCTACACCTTTCATCTCCATCTAAATTTGCATGTTGCAACCAGAGGCCTCTAATGGTACAAACAAATTCACCATTAAAATGAAAAGGGTCAATGACAAAAGAACGATGCATTTAAAGTTGGTCAACACATAGGAGGAAAGTCATAACTACATTTGGTGTAGTACAGAACATCAGTACTAAAGGAAAGCAAACAACTCACAAACAAAAGCAAAAATTGTTGATGTTGAAAATGAAAAGGTTTTTTTGCCATTTTAATTTTAATTTCACTTCATTTTACTTGTAAACATTTCATAATGCACAATGAAGTGGACAAATGTTTATTGAAGCTTAAGTTTTTTGGTGAGGGGTGCAAACATGTTGATATTTAGAAGGGTATAAAACAATGATCATTTCAATGCTATTAGGATTTTTTTAAAAAAGCCACGGTTCTAATGAAGACTCCAAAAATATGCCTGATTTGTATAGCATAATATATGAATCAATTTTAAAACTTTTTACATTTATAATGTTAGAAATTTAATTAGGAAAATTTAGTTGATATTGGTTTTCTGATGCGCCTAAGAAAATCAAGCAATAAATGTACCATTCATTGCTTGTGTAGTTAAGTCATTTGGTATAGTAAACATGACAGATTGGCTCCTCCCTACCCCTCCTAGACAAACCGGGTAAGTTCAACCATCTAATTGTATATAGGCCTTATTAGGAATCTGCAAATTCTTGTGCTTTCCCTCATTTTTGGCTTGTTTTGTTTTTGTTTTTTTGCTTATTCATTTTTCACTACTTAAGTAAATGGGTGTGCCCACGTTTAAAACAAACAAACAAACAAACAAAAATGGTGGACCATTTAACACAGTGGCGCTATTTCACATTGATAATAATGGGGATAGGCTCACCTTCCAATCTGGCGGCAGATGGATACCCCTTTGTGCTCACACATGAGCGCCTGCATGTGTGTGCACAAGCACAAGCATACACATAGACACACACATACACTGAAAAAGATGCACTGCGATAAGTACCTGCTCATTTTGTTTACTTTCTAAAATTAAAATGAGACAAGGAGGGCTTAGAAAATGTCATGTTGCTTGGAGGTATGGGAACCCTACTTCGAATGACACAAATTGGTATTAAAACTAGCCTGCTACCTCACAACCCTAAGCAAATCTGATTTGTAAGAAAGTGAAATTCAGTTCTAAACAAGAAAAACTAGGTTTACCATCACTTGGAGAGAGGTATTCAAACCTCCCTTTCTCCAACCCCCTCCCCACCCTAAATTTCCTTTGAAGAATATGTAACCTGCCCTTACTTCGGGGAATTGGAAAATGACAGGCACACCTTATTAAATGGATTTCAGAGTTACTCATATTAACAAAAAGTACTAAACCTTAGCTTCAGTTCTGTTTTTAAGGCACCATGTAATAGCCGAGGTACAATGATCCCTGATGTACATTCTTAAATGGCAATGGTCCATCTAGCCACCTACTCCAATCCTACCGAGTCGGGAATAAGTAAAAGTGAGGTGTGCCAGTTACACTGCCTTAGTTTTCTTCTTAAAATTTAAATCCACTTACTTTAGGAACCAGGAAATATCTTTTTTTTTTGAAGGACATAATGACGCAGGTTGCTACATTCCTTGCATTCTATAAATTATCTTTTAGAATAGCAGCACATTGAACTACTATTAGGAAAAAAAAAAGACCTGGAATAGAAGAAAGTCATCCAGACGGAATGGTTTCCTGTATGTCCAGCTAAGCATAAGTAGCATGTACATTTAAAATAATAATAATAATAAAAAAAGTCATTACTTTTTTCAGTTTTTCAGTATCTAACTACAACATCTCCACTTAACAGCAGAAAACATCTGTGTGTAGTGGTCCCAAATACAGACTCAGTAGTATTCAAACAGAGGGATTGGTACTCAAATAATATCTAAAACTCGATGTTTAACGGAAGCTTGCATTGTTAACGTGGTTTGATAATTATGCATACATATTACGTACACATTAACATGATCTCTGGCAATTGTCCTTTATTCTATGCCGATAAATGCACAGCTCAATTTTTTTTCCTCAGAGAAAAATAGGTGACCTTCCCAACCCTCTAGCATTATGATAAAAATGCTCTGTATTCTCCCTCCACACTCAGAAAATATTATCAGAATAGTGTCTTATGGTTCTGTCCAATGAAAAGCACCTTTCAGAAGCAAATTTGATGCATCTGCTGTCAAATGAATATATGCCTCCAGTGTAAATCAAAGGAATTCGTTTCTTTTGATATTTCACAGAAGTGCACCTAATTAAAAAACTTACATGTGAAATCATACACCATGACTAACAATTAACATTAACATATTTTTAAACTATGAAAAAAAGTAAATTACTTTTTAATTATAAAGGACAAAAACATTGACATTAAGCTTTGCAAAACTCCTTCTTGACACCCAAAACTAAGAAAAATCTTCATATTGAGAGGCAAATGATTTGTTTACAAAAAAAAATTAAACAGACCTGGCAAAAATACATACACCCATTCCATTTCACAACTCCGACAAAAGGTAATGTTCAGCACAGATAGAATTTGACAACAGTCGACCTTCAGGCTTATTCCTTTGTCAACTTAAGCCCAACATCACCAGGGTTAAATATAATCTGGAAAAATAAGCTTTTAATATTTGTTAGACTGCAGTATAGGTGTTTCCAGTGGCGCTGCACTGTCTGATAGTCTGAGTACTTGTGACAATGTGCTCATTGTGAATGGGATTCAGAAGGTTCTGTTGTACTCCACTCTCGAGGACTGGCTGTAGGCAGCCCACCTGAAATGCCTGGTTCAGCTCTGTTTTTTCCCTTTTGGCTTGAGGCTCTGCAGAATCATCCAGTTCTTCATCTATTTCACTTTCAACTTCACTGCCTTCATCTGTACAAATAAAAAATCATGAAGACTCAGGCCAAAAAGGGCTAAAAAAAAAACCCTATCTGTCTTTGGATCATAACCTAAAAGGCCCCAGTCAACAGAAATGTTCAAATGGCTACAATGAGAAAATGATTTCCTTGGCTCCCCACTCCGAAGAGCCAAATCAGTGGCTTCTCTCCTGTAATGCCTCCATTACTGTTATATGGGTCCTATAGTGGCCCTTTAAAATATTGTAGAGAAAATAATTTAATAATCGTTTTCTGTGTGCAACAACCTGGTTGCTGTTTCCTAACGGTCTGGTGGAATCATGTAAAATAAACAACCAGGATATTCTCCAAGGGAAAAAGATACCACAAAAGGGCTACATTTGGGGTGTGTGCTGAACACAGGAGAATCAGTCCTATCCATTCTGATACTTCAGGTGATTGTGGGATGGGGATGGGGTGGAGCAAGACACAGTTTGGGGCATAACATTAATAAGAGTCTCAGGTCTTCTGTTAAATTTCCTAAACACCATTTGAGGAAGTTACCTCATTTCTTATGAACTGCCTCCCTGGGGTTTTTTTTTGTAGTATGGTATCCTCTTAAACTGAGAACCAGGGTTACCATCCCAGTTTACTGTACCCTAGAGATGGTCATAAATTTGATTGTCAGTTGCTCCAGTATCTATACTTATGGCAATCTCTAGGGTATATTAAAGTGGGGTGATGAGCCTGGGCCTCAGTTTCAGGGAGATACCATACTACAGGTAATTCAGGGAGGCAAACTATTAAAGACAAGGCATTCTTGTCCATTAATACTGTGATGAGATAACAATGAAAAATGCATTATGTTTCTGTATTCTTAGAAAACTCTCTAGGAGTAAGTTTTAGAGCAGTGCATTAGGATAGGGACTTACCTCATTGGTAGTTTCAAGGAAAATTATGCTTTTAGTTTCTGTGTGTGTGTATGTGCGTACGTGTGTGTGTGTGCGTGCGTGCGCATGTGTGTGTATGTAGTTATGAGGACAAAATTGAATGTTGTAAAGCTCAAAGACCTTATGAGAAGGCAGTATGTTATAGGGTAAAGAGAGATGGATTTTGAATTGGAAGTCATATAACCTCCCTACATCTCAGTTTCCTCAGTTGTAAAATGAAGTGGTTATACCAGAGGGGACTTTAAACTCTCTTAGAGCTGTAAAACTCAGTGAATCCAAAATCCTTTTAAAGGAGAACATCCTACCATAGGTGGGGAACCTGTGGCCTCAAGGCCACACATGGCCCTCTAGATCCTCAAGTGGGGTCCTTTGACTGAATCCAAACTTCACAGAACAAATTCTTTTACTAAGGGGATTTATTAAGTTTGGATTCAGTCAAAAGGCCCCACTTGAGGACCTAGAGGGCCACGTGTGGCCTTAAGGCCACAGATTCCCCACTCCTGAGTTTAATTCTTTAAAAAATAAGGCAGTGTAGACAAATTCTCTCTATATTTTTTTCTACTTTTAGAAGAATATCTTAGCGAAGACAACATTTGTGTAATATTTAAATACTTACCTTTATCCATATTTCCAGGGGACACAGCATTTAAATCACCAAACTGCAAAACAATAGCCATTTATATAATAGTCAGAATAAAGAAGTGAAAGAGATATTTTATACTATCTTTTTAAAATGTTAAAGTTGTGATCTTTTTGCTTTCTAATTACATGAGACAAATAAGTTCTCCATTGAATTTTCTGAATTTACAACCAAATCTCCATTTGGCTGTCCTAACCATTTTGTAACAATGTAAATTACAAACAGTTAAAAAAAATTATGGGCCCATTTTACTCGTTAAAGAAAGTATGAAGAGATGGGATCCATGAAATCAAATTCTCCAAATTAAAATTCTCCAGATCAAAATTTCCAGACGTTTTAATGGATTCTGGAAAAGACTGGACCAAGTAAGATGTACCAGCTCAAAATAAGCAAGCAGCTCTCGAACCCTAACCCTTAATTAGTCACTAGAAAATCCCTCTGCATTAGAGAAAGCCGATCAAGTGGGAACATTAATTTTTAAAGCTTTTCTTCTTATAAAAATGAAAAGCCCATCAGTGGTTAACATGGTTAGAGTAGGGCTTCTTAACCTGGGGATCACAGGTTTCGGGGGTCTGTGAACTTGAATGGGAAAAATAAATTAGATCTTGATGTTCACTAACCCTATAATCTCTTTTGTATCCCATTCATCTTATTTTATATGCATTTAAAAAACCATTATTCTGAGGAGGGGTATTATTAAACTGCTCAAGAGATCCAAGATACACAAGAAAGGTTAAGAACCTCTGGTTTAAAAGTTTGTGAAGGCATTAATTCAGGTCTCTTTTTCACTATAGTAATCTGTTACTACAATACACATAAATGAATATATTCCTCAAAGAGCTGGCAACATCACCAATGAAAGCACAAGGATTTAGAACAACAGGCAAAAGCATTTGTGGCGATACCATACAACAGGATGTCTGGTAGCATTTTCAGCAATACATATTGGCTAAGTAACTGCAAAGCACTGGCGTAGGTATTGGGGACGCAAAAGTGGAAAATGACACATCTTGGATCATATCCTGAACAATCAATCATTCTTAAGTGAGAAAACACACCTTGGAAGACTGGAATGAAGATGATTAAGTGAACAACTGAGCAAGAAACTAAAACAGCAGAAGGATCACCCAAAGAAAACGTATGACTTGAAACCTTTCACATTTTGAGTCATGAGAGGCTTTTAAATCTGAAGATTTGTTTGTCATTACCAGAAATCCAGTTCTCTTGACCAGTTTATAAAGGGATAAAACAGGTTTGATGAAAATGTGGAGATTTGAACTCTAGAAGTTTCTACAATCTGATGTGTCTCTCTCTGCCAGGGATAACTATAAAATAACAAGGTTCATTTTAAAACAGCTAGAATTATATGTTTCAGTTATTGTTGGATATATAGCTAACTAACTCAATAACTTCACTCACTAACTATAACTAATATACATTTGAACAATGATCGCTCAAGACATTTTTGGAACTCCTCTTTTGAAATTGCCTTCATGGCCAATTTATAAATGACACAAGACAATCCTATTAATTTGTAGTCAGTCATACCTGGGCCTTCACCCCAGGTGGTAAAACCTCACTTGACCATCTATTATAGCTATAGGACTCAGCTCTCAATAATTTTTAATTGTTTCCAAAAAATCAAGTGGGCTGCTAGTAGTTACATATTCATGATCTTCCAACCTCCATCTCTGTGCCTTTCCCCAGGTGGTCCATCATGTCTGGAATGTACTCCTCCCTTACCTCTACTTCACAGAATCCTTAGCTTCCTTTAAAGCACAGTTCAGATCCCACCATCTACCTACACAAGGCCTTTATTAATCCTCCTACTTATCAGCACTTTCTTGCTCCTGAAATTACGCTGTATTTTCTTGTGTACCTGTCACATCCACCCAGTAGAATGTAAGTTCTTAGAGGGCAGAGACTGCCCTATAGTTTTTGCCTCTGAATCTCTAGCATAGCATGTTAACACACAGAAAGTTTGTTTGATGGAATTGAATCCTAAGAGGATGAAAATCTGCCACTGAGTATATTTGAAAGAATTTGCTTCGGGCTTTCTAGACAGTGCTGAGATGGGGTACCACAGAGTTCTGAAGCCATGGCAGCAGGAATAGATGTGACAACACTCACTCACCTATGTGAGTTGTGTTAATTTTTTTTTAAATCAGTCATATTACCTCAGAGTCACAACTGGTCTATCTAAAATAGTCAGAAAGGCCAAATTGTGGTTCCACAACTTAACAGCAGCCTGCAGAAAGCTTGAATCATGGGAGGGCCCGATTTCTCTAACTTTGTGCAGGCAAGACAAGAAATGAAAAAAAGGGATTGGTTGTTTTGTTTATAGGTCCAGTTTCTATTGCATATTAAATCTCTGGAGGATTATAGGCAGAAAAATTCCAAAGTGGGGTGAATGATTTAAAGGCTACTTGGCATTGGTGTGTTTCAATGAAAGGATATTTCTGAAGGGCAGTTCAGATACTCACTCAAGCTCATAATTGGAATGAGTTTCAGAGGAAATCTTATTATTGATCAAGAAACCCCCCTATAACCTCCCTGACAAATGATCATTCAGCTTCTGTTTACCATTAACTACCTGTATTGCCTTAGACAAGTCACTTTACCCTTATGGGCCTCAGTTTCCTCACCTGTAAAATGAAGGGGTCTAACTAGACAATGTCTCTAAGGTCTCTTCCAGCTCTGTCTATGATCCTATTAACACCAGTGGTGGGGGAATTCATTCCTTTCTGAGGTAGATTATGTCCTTTTTAGCATACAACACTGCTACAAAGAATGAATCCACATATGGCTTGTACTCTCTTTAGAACATTTTATCAGTACTTTGGGTGAAGGGACTGATGGCATGCTTATCAACTTTACAGAGAACGTGAAGCTAAGAGGGATAATTAATAGGTCAGATGGCAGAATCAGGATTCAAGAAGATACTGACTAGGCTAGAGAAATGGGCCAGTTCTAATTAGATAAAATTTAATAGACCTCAGCATAAAGCCTTTCACTTTGTTTCATGGATCATGAAACCATGTTATGGTTTCATCCTTCCATGACAGAATCAGGATCCAAAATGATAATGATAGGCTAGAATGTCAGCATGAATCTAATAAGATGAAATGTAAGAGTAAAAAATTTAAGGCGTGTACGTAGGTTCAAAAAATTAACTACATACAAACTGGAAAATAGTTAATATGAAAATTACCTGGAACACAAACTCAATAGGAGTCAATATTGAAGAAAAAAGAAAAGGAATGCACTCTTAGATGGTGTAAACAGAAACTTGGTATGAGGGACTTAATCATCCTGGCACTACATTTTAGGAAGGATATTGCCATGCTGGAGAGCACTGGGAAGAAGATGAGGAAGGTTGAGAGGATTCAGCATCAGTTTCAAATCCCCATGGAGGGGGCTAGGTGGAGGGCATAACATTGACTACTACAGAATGCTGCAGAATTTATGATTTAAATTCGATGTACATGAAGTATGTTATCACAGTTTCCTCTGGGAAATTTTCAGAAGCATGCATCTTCTTCCCCACTCATTTGAACAGCAAGCACTTGGTATAGCCATAAAAAAGCATATAGTAAGCTGGTTATTTTTTTAAAGGCACAGCTACACAACTAGAGAAATGTGTATTTAGATCACAACAATTATATATAGTCAGTAATTTAGAAGAACTTTTGAAGTTGGGGATGGGAGATGTGTTATTGCCACTAAATATTTCAGATTGATATTAATACTTTAGAAGAAATCTAATCATATTTTCATAAATATTGTGATAAATCTTCCTTATAGATATATGTATATACCAGTGTAGTAGTAGCAGTAGCAGTAATAACAATAATAATTAACAGTTACAAATAATGAGATAATTTCATTTGGGAAGATCTGAAAAAATGACAAATATCATATGTGCATGTATAACTCTCTCTGCATAAATTATTTTCCTTTTCATTGTTATAGACTTTTTACATTTCTAATTCCCATCTGGAGTCTACTGTGAACATGTGAAAATGGCATAAAGTAGGTAGGAATGTATATGTTTATATTTATTGTCTATTTGCTCACTGCATCTATGTAGAGGAAGTAGGGTATAGTGGAAGGAGGGTTAGAGCTGGAGCCAAGAGAGACGTATGTTCAAATCCCACTTCAGATATTTACTTAATGTATGAGCACAGGCAAATTGTTTAATCTCTCTAGGCCTCAGTTTTCTCATCTGTAAAAAAGGAGTGTGCTTATCTCATAGAGTGGTTGTGGGGAGCAAATAAGATCAATATATTAAAAAATCTTGAAAATCTCAAAAGTACAATATAAGTTGTAACTATTATTATGAAGTATACAAATTAAAAATGGGGTCCTTTGGGGAAGCCTAGATTACAGATAACTTTTTCTTTACCTATTCTAAATAACTACTGTGCTTTTTTAGACAATAGGACCAAACTAATTTTTTTTCCTCCTCTGTTTGTTCTGGGCTATATTCTGCAGATAAACTTTCTTTTAAAAAAAGAAATGGAAACTTCCTTTAATTTTTAATATAAGAATTTCATGCTCAACTGCACTAAATTGTTGGCAAAGAAATTAATTTAAATGTATTTTCTGCCCTTCCCTTATTCCTGGAGGGGGTTGGGATGGGTGGAAATAAACCCAAACCAAATCCTAAACCTGTCGTACAAGGAGTGGCTGGAGGAGCGGGGGGTGTTTAGCCTGGAGAAGAGTACATTTAGAGAAGGCAGTGTTAAGCACCTTATAATAGTTATCTGAGTTCCTAGGAGTACAAAGACAAAAATGAAGTGGTCCCTGCTCTGCAGGAGGTTACATTCTAAGCAGGACAGCAAATGCCATGCATGTCTTAACAGCTGCCGTATGAAGGAGATTAAACGTGTTTTGCTTGGCCCCCGAGATGAAAATTAAAGGCAGTGGGTAGAAGCTGCAGAAAAATACATGAAAACAATATAAACAATGTAAATGGAAAGAACCACTAACCCCCTCCCTCCTCCAAAGTGGGTGTCA